GTGTCCCAGACCTATCCCAGGAGCACATAGCAGATGGTCATAATTAAAAATAACCTCCCTCCCTTGACATGTAAGGCCCTCAATGAACTGATCCTTCCCATTTCTACCTGTCCTCCATACCCCATCAGCTCATCTCTCCTGCCTCTGCCCTGATCCTCAATATTCCTAGCAGACTGGCCTTCATTCTGTACCTTAATCAAGCCAAGTTTTGTCCAGCCTCTCAGCCTTTGCTCTCAGTCCTTCCTCTGACTGAAGCACTCTTTCTTCAGATCTTTGCATGACTGGCTCCTTCCCACTGCACATTCCAGTTCTAGATCAAATATCATCTTCTCAGAGATACCTTCTCTGCTCACCCAGCTGAAGAAGGTCCCCAGTAACATCTGTCTCATCACACCATTTTCACTTTACCACACATTTCTTTTTAAATGTTTGCTGTCTGTCTCTCCCCAGGGAACATAAGCTCACTAGATGAGAGATCTTTATAAGTTTAGCTCTGTAATTCTTAACCAGGGTTGATTTTTTACCCCCTGCCCCGGGTCATTTGGCAGTGTCTGGAGACATTCTAGGCTGTCACACTGGGCAGGAGCTACTGGCATCTAGTGAGTAGATACCAGGAATGCTGCTAAACATTTTGCAAGGTATAAGACAAGACAAAGAATTACCCAGCCCCAAATAATAATAGTGCCAGAGTGGAGAGATCCTGGTCCAGCTCATCTCTGATGCCCCAGTGCCTGGACCAGCACCTGGCAAATCTTCCGCAGTTCAAACATTGTTGTGGCATGAACGAATGAAATGTTTCAATTAAACGTTGGATTTAATTTTGAAGCCCCAAAAGTCCTTAGAGAGCAATTAAGCCACAAGTTTTCACACTCTGTTTCTGAAAGCCTCAGGCTATGGAGCAGAGTTTCAGGAATTCTGTACACCATGAAGAATTTCCAGCTAAATGCTGACGACGTAAATTTTGTGACTATGGTCTGTTTTATATATTGGGGTCCTGATTGTCTGACAAGTTCTCCTGCTTACAAAAATTGTTCCCAACCAGCCCCCTTATTTCACCAAGCTGGAAGCCAGGATACAAAGAAGCTGATAGGCCTGGGTCTCCCGAGTACCTGGCTGGCCTTGGTCACAGACTGGCCACAGCTCTGTGATTTGCCAAAGACACAATTTAGGAGCAAGTTGATGTGATATTAGCAGTTACAGGCATCAGAGACTTATGGGGTGGGTTTTTATCTTGGCTATGCCTCCAACCAATTGTGTGACCTTGGAAAAGCCACTTACCTCTTTGAGCTTCAGTTTCCCCCTGAGGATCTACAAACTAGAGATAATAATAGCACCTCCCTTATAAGGGTGTGATGCAGATCTAAGAAGTTAACATGTGAAAAATGTTCAGAACAGTGTCTAGCACAAAGTAACTGCGATATGTCAGGTGGGTGACCAGCTCATCCCAGTCTGCCTGGGATTTTCCTGGTTTTAGCACTAGAAGCCCTGTGTCCCAAGAAACCAATCAATCTAAGCAAAGAGGAATAATTGGTTATCCAGGCTGCAGTGCATGTTTCATTTTTTTTAAATTGTCTGATGTTCAGTATCTTCCTATATTAATGTTGTTTGACTCTTCATTACTTAGTATGTTTCATATAATGAGCATGAGAGAAGGATGACTGACAAATCATTTACACAGATGGGATAGCAGGGGACAACTTTAGCCTACTTTCTTCTTTTTTTTTCCCCCTAGAGTGTTTCCCCTTGCCACATATGGTAATGACATTAGTGACTTTTTGCATTGATTTATGAGAACATTTTTCCTGAGTACTATTTTTCTCAACACTTTAATATTATCCCCATTTTTTTCAGTTTTATTGGGATGTAATTGACGTACAGCACTGAATAAGTTTAAGCTGTACGGCATAATGATTTGACTTAACCCACTTCTTAAAATTTTTTTAAGTTTATTTATTTATTTTGAGAAAGAGAGAGAGAGAGCATGAATCAGGGAGAGGCAGAGAGAGAATCCCAAGCAGGCTCTGAGATGTTAGCATGGAGCCTGACATGGGGCTCGAACCTATGAACCTTGAGATCATGACCTGAGCCAAAATCAAGAGTCAAGACACCTAACCGACTGAGCCACCCAGGCACCCATTAACCTACTTTCTAATAATGAAGCAAATGAAACTGTTGACCTTTATTTATCAATTCATGCAAGGAGAACCACAGCACCTCTACTTAGAAAGCACTTTTTTTGGCGGGGGGGGTGGGGGGGTGGGGGTGCCTGGGTGGCTCAGTCGGTTATGTGTCTGACTTCAGCTCAGGTCCTGATCTTGCAGTTTGTGAGTTTGAGCCCAGCATCGGACTCTGTGCTGTGCTGACAGCTCAGAGCCTGGGGCCTGCTTTGGATTCTGTGTCTCCCTCTCTCTCTCTGCCCCTCCTCTGCTCACACTCTTGTCTTTCTCTCTCAAAAATAAATAAAACATTTAAAATTTTAAAAAAAAAGAAAACACTTTTTAAAAATGCTTATTTATTTATTTTGAGAGAGAGCACTCACCTGAGCTGGGGAGGGGCAGAGAGAGAGAATCCCAAGCAAGCTTCTTCTTGCTGTCAGCACAGAGCCCAAGGTGAGGCTCGAGCCCACAAACCACAAGATCATGACCAAGAGTCAAGCATTTGGGATGCCTGGGTGGCTCAGTCAATTGAGTGTCCAACTTTGGCTCAGTTCATTATCTCACAGTTCATGGATTCAAGCCCACATTGGACTTTCCACTGATAGTGTGGAGACTGCTTCAGATTCTCTATCTCCTTATCTCTCTGCCCCTCCCCCTTCTCAAAAATAAATAAACATTAAAAAACAAAAGAGAGGGGCGCCTGGGTGGCTCAGTCGGTTGAGGGGCCGACTTCAGCTCAGGCCATGATCTCGCGGTCCGTGGGTTCGAGCCCCGCATCGGGCTCTGTGCTGACAGCTCAGAGCCTGGAGCCTGTTTCAGATTCTGTGTCTCCCTCTCTCTGATCCTCCCCCATTCATGCTCTGTCTCTCTGTCTCAAAAAAAAAAAAAAAAAAAAAAAAAAAAAAAAAAAAACAAGAGAGAGAGTCAGATGCTTAACCCACTGAGCCACCCAGGCGACCCTAGACAGCACTTTTATAGCTGTTGGTTTCTTACTGGATGTCCTCAAACAAGAGAACTTTGTTTCTTTTTTCCACAAGTCTGTATTTCCAACAGTTTACTGCTTCATACTAAATTTTCCCTAGTAACACAGAATCTTGGAACTAGAAAGAAGTTTATATTTAGTACAACTGTGCTATTTCCCAGATGGGAAAACTGAGTCCAGAGAAGCCACTCCCTTTTCTGAGGTCACATACTAATGAAGCATGACGTTGGGGCTCAGACCCAGGGTTCGATTCCTGGGCCAGGGTGTTCTCAGAGGTTCCCAAACTGGGTTCCACATCCAGTGGAAACATTAAGTGTCACAGAGAAGTGGGTAGCTAAGGAGTGAGAGGGAACCTGTGTCACTCAGCAATCAAAACCCTCCTCCTTCTATCACAGAAGCTCCACTTTCATGTGCTAAAAAAATATTTTTTGAAGGCCACTCAATTGTATTATAAGATTGACATTTTCTTCCCTGGAAAATTTGCTCCCATGGAGAAAACTTAACTACTTCTTTGAACCACGTTTTTCTTTTTTACGTGGTTGGAAAAGCAAATGCGTGGCCCTTTAAAAGCCAGCAGTTAAAATGAAAGGCTCATTCACTCACGGGAATGAGCTGGGTGAGTCAGGGCGTTGGTAACAACTAGCCCAGATGTATAATCTTGTGCCTATCACTTAGGAAAATGCTGCCGTTAGGGATCACTTAATAGAACCTTAGAGTGAGGGTCCAGGGGGATCCCAAGGTAGACAGTCTGCAAGAAGCAGGATGGTGGGGGACAAATTGCAGTGAGATCACCTAGAACCCAGGCCCAGGGTGCTGGGCAGGGCAGGAGTTGCTGTTGGTGAGTTCTGCTTCTCCCTACCCTCTCCAATATGATTTTAAGCTGAAACAGACAAAATCCAAGACCAGGAAAACATCCTGGGTTGACCCCCACCCCCAAAGGTGGAAGAAAGACAACAAGAAATGGCAAAGCAAAGTTCACAACCTTTGTCCAGAGCGATTCTGGCTTAAAGGAAGGGCGAGGAGGCATCAGCTGATTCCCCATAGCAGAGGTGAAAGCTCAAACTTGACACTCAGCATGACTGGGTTTGAATCTCAGGCTCACCCACTCATTAGCTGTGCAACCTCAGGAAAGTTACCTCACCTCTCTGAGCATCCTTTCCTCATTGGCAAATGTAGATTGAAATGGTACCGGACATATAGGTCCGGTGAAGGATTAGGAAAGAGGAAGGCGGCGACTGGGTGGTTCAGTCCATTAAGCTTCTGACTATTTTGGCTCAGCTCATGATCACTGTTTGTGGGATTGAGCCCCCTGTTGGGCTCTGTGCTGGCAGCACGAGCCTGCTTGGGATTCTCTCTCTTGCTCTCTCTCTTTCTGCCTTTCCCTGGCTCACACTCACACGTGTGTGCTCTCTCTTTCTCTCAAAATAAACAAACTTTAAAAAAAAAGAAAAGAGGAGGTCTCTGCTCCTTACAGTGCTTCTGTGCCAAGGGAACAGTTGTAGCCACTTTCTATGAAGCACCTACTAAGTGCCCATGTATGGATGCCAGAGCCTGAGCTGTGCAGCCTCTGTCTATTGGGGATACTACCTGGTACTGCAGTAGTTCAGAGTAGGGCTCTCACCATTGTAATTTGTATCCAAAATAGTTTTGAGTCAAAGAACATTCTGGGAGACCCAGAGTTCATCAGTCTTTGCCATGGGTTACTCTGTTTGGCCAGCCCTCCCCACACAGCAAGGGCTCAAGAAATATTTGTTGAATGAGTGACTCAATGATGGAAGAAATTAATGAAAGATGAAATGTTGGTGAGTGTCCCCTACTGGATGGAGGGAGATTTGAAAAAAAAAAAAAAAAACCCTCAGGAATTCATGAACATAATGTTGAATGAAATAAGCCAGATACAAGAGAATGTTCAGTGTGATGACATTTGTATGAATTTCTAGAATGGGCAAGATAAATCTGTGATGATAGGAGTCAGAATTGTGGTTACCTGAAGATGGAAGAAAGAGAGCTAGGAAATGGCAAAGCTGGGGTTTAAACCAGAGGCCACTGCCAGCTAAGCCCATGTTCTTAACCCCTTAGACAAACTGCTGCTCAGAAGCCATACAGCCCAGTTTCCCATCAGATTTTGAGAGCTCCTTTACAGCCTCTGCCAAATGATTGGCCAGGTTCCACTTGCATATTTCCAGTGACAGAGAGCTCATTACCTATATGCTTGCAAAGGAGAACTTGGGAGGAAGAGTTCTAGTCCTTATAACAGCCTCTGCTTTCTCCTGCTTGACCTCAGTTATCTTGTGACTGCCATACCTAGGGACTTTTATCCAGAAGTGGCCTTTCTCCTTGTCCAGTCCCTCCGGCTCAATGGGAAGGGTAGGGGTCGTGGTGATAACTTTATAGTGGATTCTCTCACACACGCCATTCTTGTTCCTTTGAAGAGAAGAGAAGGCAAAAGTGTCATGGAGGATGATTTGGGAACAATTCAACAAATGTAAAATGTACATATTCTATAACCCAACCATCTCTCTTCTTGCACATGCATCCAGAGATGGAGGGGCAAAGAAGCACAGAGCAGCAGGGTTTGTGAGAATAAAAACCTCGCAAACAATCTAAATGTCCATTGATGGAGGACTGGTTACAACACCAGAGTGTGTCCTTCCACTGAAGGATGCCAGAGCAGTTTAAAAGGTTGGGAATGAGGTATCCACCCAAGAGAAATGAGAACACATACCCACATAAAGACTTGCATGCAAACATTCATAGCAATATTATTCCTAATAGCCTCAAACTGGATACGCTCCTAGAGTCCACCAACTGGCAAATGAACAAGCAAAATGTAGCATATCTGTACAATGGAATATTAGCAAAAAAAAAAAAAAAATTAAAGAAAAGAAAACATGAGGGGTGCCTGGGTGGGTCAGTTGGTTAAGTGCCAGACAATTAACAGCTTAGGTCATGATCTCATGGTTTGTGGGTTCGAGCTCCGCATCGGACTCTGTGCTGACAGCTCAGAGTCTAGAACCTGCTTCAGATTCTGTGCCTTTCTCTCTCTCTGCCCCTCCCCAACTCATGCTCTGTCTCTATCTCTCAAAAATAAACATTGAAAAAAAACTTTTTAAATTTCTTTTAATGTTTATTTTTGAGAGAGAGACAGAGTGCGAGCAGGGGAGGGACAGAGAGAGAAGGAGACACAGAATCCGAAGTAGGCTCCAGCCTCCAAGCTGTTAGCACAGAGCCCATTGTGGGGCTCGAATCCACCAGCTGTGAGATCATGACCTGAGCCAAAGTCAGATGTTCAACTGACTGAGCCACCCAGGCGCCCCTCCTTGGATAATTTTTTAACTTAAAACAAGCAAGCAAGCAAGCAAGAAAAGAAGCAATGCAAAAGAGCCTAGAGGCTACAGTCCATCCTCCAGCCCATCTTTTACAATTACTGGGCCCGTGGATTTAGGAAATTGTCATTTGTAAGCAGTAAATTGGATGTGTCTAAACTTAGAAAGGACTTCAGGAATGATCTAGTCCAGTTCCTTTGCTCTATAGGTGGAGAAACTGAGGCCCAGGGAGGGACTGCAGCCTGGCCAACGCCAAAACTTGTTGGGCTTGGGCCAGGGCTGCAGTCCAAGCCCCGGATGAAGCTCCTAGCTCTGCCCCCGCACTATACTCTGCACAAATTGTTTCGTGTCTCCGGGAAGGGGGAGTTTATAAATTTGGCCACGTTTTGGAACAACAGAGCCATAAATGGACATGCCCGCAGGAGGCTGGGAGGTACCTGACCTTTGAGGCTGGGGGTGGGGAGGGGAAGGGAGAACAGGGCCAGCAGCCTCAGCCCTGGCCCAGATTCTTGCATCCAGGAGAAAAGAAAACTGGAGAAAGGAGCTAGTCCAGAGGGAGGCTGCAGATGAAGCAGGTAAACAGGGAGGGCCACATGGACCTGGGTCAAAGGCCCCCCGCCTACCACTGTTTGGCTGGGTAATCTTGGACACATGCCTTCACCTCTCTGAGCCTCAGTGGTCACCAAACCTGGTAAATGATGAGAACGTGTGGAAAGGTTATAAAAATGCAGATGACCAGGCCCCAACTCCAGCTTACAGAGAATCAGATTCTCCCAAGATGGGTCCCAGGCAACTGTATTTTCCAGAAGCATCTTGTGGTAGTCTGCATCACTAGAGAACTGGAATTCAGGAGTCACTGACATCAGCCTTAAAACAGGCTTCTGAAAATCATTATTTTTATTAGACTCTTGCCCATAGAGGAAAACCCAGGCTGCCTAGCATGCCATTCAAGGCCTCCACGGCAACAGAACAACTTCACCCCCTCCCCACTTCAGCCCTTTACATTCATCCCTCCGTTGTTTCAGCAAACAAGGTTGAGTATCCCCTCTACAGCCCCACATAAAACCAGGTCTCTGCCTTCCCTGGCAGTCCAAAGTGGGAATAAATCAAATTCCACACTCCATGATTCTCTTCCTTTTTTAAACACATTCACATTCACACTTTCCAAACGAGACAGTTCCTTCAAGTTGGACAGTCCACCATTCCATTTGGCTTCTCTTTTGATGGAAAATCCATATCCCCTCTTCCATGAAGTTTTCCAGCTGTTCTCTGCCCCCCCCCCCCCCCGATGGAATCACTACCTATACAGGGCTCTACCCTCTAAATGAATGAGTAAATAAATGAGTGGAATTCTTGATTGATTTGCCTCCCGGCCCTGGCGCAGTTTGTAGCCAATAAAAATGTTTGTTGCAATACAATGAACACTGGATTCTCTGAGCCAACTCTGATCTGAATGCAACTACCACTGAAAAACATTCAGTCAGTCAACATTTACTGAATATGTATTATGCACCGGGCATGTGTAAACAAACCAGATCACTCCAGATGGGGTTAAGTGCAAAAATGAGTGCTCTGAGAGAGAACAATTGAGAGGTGCTGTTTCAAAGAGGGTGGTGAGGAAGCCCCCTGGAGCTGAGGCAGAGCTGGCCTGCAGAGCCCTAGAAGGGGTGACTTGATTTGGGTTTGAGAACGGCTCTTGGGCTTCTAGGTGGTGAGTGGAGGTGGGGTGGGGACAGTGCCAGAGCCGAGTGATGTGATTAACAATGGTGTGGAGAGGTGGGGCCCAGCCACACGAAGACAGATGCCACAGGGGGGCCTGCAGCTTGGGTGGGACAGCTGATCTTCCAAACTTTAGAGTCTTTGATGCTCTGAGCCTTATATGTTTTAAACTCACACACACACACAATTAAAGAAAACAAAATCCCTCAGAGCCTCAGAAGTTGGCTAAAGCCCATAGGATTGTCTGTTTTTTTAAAAAAATATATTTTCCCACTGAATCTTCAGTTTTGTATTTCCAGCAGCTGGCATCCACCCAAGGGGACAAGTTAGCTGAGACAAACAGGCTTCCGTCCCTCTGTCATTGTCCTCTGGATCGCTCGTGGCTGCTAAAAGGGTCATTTCCTGAGGCCTCAGCAGGGCTAGGAGGGTGAGGTGTGGGGGCCAGGCCTTCCCACGGATGCAGCTGGGTCAGCTGCATTTCCCGAGAGGACATTGCTTTGGGGGAGGGGGTGGGGCAGGCAAAAAGCAGCCCCGGAGGTCAGGCAAGCAGCTCCGGCCCAACACTTCATTAGTAAGTCAGTCACTTGAGGTTTAACAAAACAATGTGGTGAGGTTCCCAGGCTAGCCCACAAGAAGAGCCTGTAGGTCTGATATTGGAGAGTCATTTGTGTAGGATGAGAGGAACTCAGCCCAAGAGAGGTTCTGGGCCACCTGATTTCAAGACTCACCAAATTCAGGCTAGGTGACCTGGGAATGATCCTTTAAGGTGAGGCTGGGCTGTGAACACAGAAAAGCCCTTCCCTCACTGGGAGGGGCAGGGGGCCCTGACTCTGGGACAGGGGACTCCAGGCATGGAGCCCACTCAACTCCATGACTATCTAAGCCACACACAAATTTTAAGTTACTAGGTTCAGCCCCTCCTAGTTACAATCTGGTTTCTTAAACTGATGCTCTGCCCCTGTGATGCAGAGGCTGCCAAGGCTGTGTCTATCCCAAACCCATCAAATAACCTCCCACAAACCCATTAATCTTGTATCAGGATCATGCACCTTCCTCTCATGTCACTGTCCCTCAATGCTCTCCCAGTGCTCATTACACTGGCTTGGTTTGGGTTTCTCTTTCCTGCCCCGTGGCCTTTGCCCGTGCTGTTCCCTCTGCCTGGATCAAGAGGCAAAGTGCTTCCTAGTTCCTTTTTCCTCCTAGAGCTAACGCCAAATAGCAGTAGTGATTTGTGCAGTAATTTGCATGATATCATCTTCCTCCAAAGCATCATTAAAGACGTTCCACCATTGGCCTCTAAATTGGCCACAGAAAGGGAAAGAAAGAAAAAGGATAGTATGTGGAGGGGCTTTTTGGCCCGAGTCTGGAAGAGGTGCACATCTCTTCTGCTCACATTTCATTGTCTGAGAACATGGCCCCTCCTAACTACAAGAGAGACTGGGAAGTATGGTCTAGCTGGGCCTCAAAGAGGAAGAGATGAGGGGCGCCTGGGTGGCTCAGTCGGTTAAGCGGCCGACTTCGGCTCAGGTCATGATCTCACGGTCCGTGAGTTCGAGCCCCGCATCAGGCTCTGTGCTGACAGCTCAGAGCCCGGAGCCTGTTTCAGATTCTGTGTCTCCCTCTCTCTCTGCCCCTCCCCCGTTCATGCTCTGTCTCTCTCTGTCTCAAAAATAAATAAACGTTAAAAAAAATTAAAAAAAAAAAAAAAAAAAAAAAGAGGAAGAGATGGATATTCATGCATACTAGCTGACTATCACAGAAATGTGGCTCCCTGACACGAGAAGAAAGGGGTGATGGAGGCCTGGACAGGAAAAAGCCCCTGCTGTTGCAGTACACACCCTTCACATCCTTCCCCAGAGGGAGAGACGTGTCTCCTGGGCCTGTGTCCACCTTTTCCTGTGAATGTAAAACTAATTAGTGGTCAACTCCTGGAGCAGACATAGCCCCTACCCCATGGACGATCACCTCTACCCACCAAAGGCTGCTCACTGAATGCCTGATGGTGTTGTTCTGGCCTCAGGAGCACACTGGAAGTGCCAAGAATTGGCACCCCCAGAAGTAGCCCTTGGCCATCGAAGGATAGAAAATCGGTGGACAGACAACCCAACTCCCTAACCCTTTGGTTGGGATGGCTGAGGTATGGCCTACACGGTGTCTGGGAGGTCCCTAGTAGGGCAGAACTCCGGTTGTTCACCACAGTAACTGCCCTGATAATGCTTCCCCTACTGGCTCACTTCCACTCCCTGTCTCGCTTCCCCACTCCCTGACAGGGATTCCCTGGGTTCACTTCCCAGATAGACTCCTGACACTTAAATATTTGTTTTAGGGTCTGCTTCTGGGAGGACCCGAACCAAGGCAGCTCCCCGTGCTCAGGAACAA